CTCAACACTCATCCTCATCACCCTCCTCCTCCTCTCCATCGGCCGAGTCCCTCCCCACCTCCTCATAATCCTTCTCCAGCGCCGCCAGGTCCTCCCTGGCCTCGGAGAACTCCCCCTCCTCCATCCCCTCCCCCACRTACCAATGCACGAACGCCCTCTTGGCGTACATCAAATCRAACTTATGGTCCAGCCGCGCCCACGCCTCGGCGATGGCCGTGGTGTTGCTCAGYATGCAGACYGCCCGCTGSACAGCGGCCATGTCGCCACCGGGCACCACCGTGGGCGGTTGGTAATTAATTCCCACCTTAAAACCAGTAGGGCACCAATCCACGAATTGGATGGACCGGCGCGTYTTGATGGCGGCGATGGCGGCGTTGACGTCCTTGGGCACCACGTCGCCGCGGTACAGCAGGCAGCACGCCATGTACTTGCCGCGCCGCGGGTCGCACTTGACCATCTGGTTGGCGAACTCGAAGCAGGCGTTGGTGATCTCGGCCACCGAGAGCTGCTCGTGGAACGCCCTGTCGGCCGACACGATGGGCGCGTAGGTGGTCAGCGGGAAGTGGACGCGCGGGTACGGCACCAGGTTGGTYTGGAACTCGATGAGGTCCACGTTGAGGGCGCCGTTGAAGCGCAGCGAGGCGGTGACGGACGAGACGATCTGGCCGATCAGGCGGTTGAGGTTGGCGTAGGTCGGGCGCTCGACGTCCAGGTTGCGGCGGCAGATGTCGTAGATGGCCTCGTTGTCCACCATGAAGGAGCAGTCCGAGTGCTCCAGCGTGGTGTGRGTGGTCAGGATGGAGTTGTAGGGCTCCACCACGGCCGTGGACACGCGCGGGGCCGGGTACACCGAGAACTCCAGCTTGGATTTCTTGCTGTACTCCACTGAGAGCCGCTCCATCAGCAGCGAGGTGAAGCCGGAGCCGGTGCCGCCCCCGAAGCTGTGGAACACCAGGAAACCCTGGAGGCCGCTGCACTGGTCAGCCTGGAGCGCGAGATGGGACAGTTATCCCTTCCAGGACCCGAATCAATATCCCCGGAATACCAGACAGTTATCCCTTCCAGGACTGAGAAAAATATCCCAAAAACATGGACAGTTATCCCTTCCAGGACCTGAATAAATATCCTGAGAATATGTACAGTTATCTCTTCCAGGACCCAAATAAATANCGGTGACGGACGAGACGATCTGGCCGATCAGGCGGTTGAGGTTGGCGTAGGTCGGGCGCTCGACGTCCAGGTTGCGGCGGCAGATGTCGTAGATGGCCTCGTTGTCCACCATGAAGGAGCAGTCCGAGTGCTCCAGCGTGGTGTGRGTGGTCAGGATGGAGTTGTAGGGCTCCACCACGGCCGTGGACACGCGCGGCGCCGGGTACACCGAGAATTCCAGCTTGGATTTCTTGCTGTACTCCACCGAGAGCCGCTCCATCAGCAGAGAGGTGAAGCCAGAGCCGGTGCCGCCGCCGAAGCTGTGGAACACCAGGAAACCCTGGAGGCCGCTGCACTGGTCAGCCTGGAGCGCGAGATGGGACAGTTATCCCTTCCAGGACCCGAATAAATAAATATCCTGAGAATATGGGACAGTTATCCCTTCCAGGACCAAAATAAATATCCCAAGAATATTGGGCAGTTATCCCTGTAAGGACCAGGATAAACACCCCAAAAATGGATATTTATCCCTATAACGACTGGGATAAATATCCCAAGAATATAGATATTTATCCCTTCCAGGACCCAAATAAATATCCTGACAATATGCACAGTTATCCCTTCCAGGACCCGAATAAATAAATATCCTGAGAATATGGGACAGTTATCCCTTCCAGGACCCAAATAAATAAATATCCTGAGAATATCAGACAGTTATCCCTTCCAGGACCCAAATAAATATCCCGAGAATATCGGACAGTTATCCCTTCCAGGACCCGAATAAATATCCCGAGAATATCGGACAGTTATCCCTGTAAGGACCGGGATAAACACCCCAAAAAATGAGTATTTATCCCTATAAGGACTGGGATAAATATCCCAAGAATATGGATATTTATCCCTTCCAGGACCCAAATAAATATCCTGAAAATATGGACCTTTATCCCTGTAAATAACGGGACAAATATCCTGAGAATATGGACATTTATCCCTTCCAGGACCCAAACAAATAAATATCCTGGGAATATCGGACAGTTATCCCTTCCAGGACCGGGATAAATATCGGACAGTTATCCCTTCCAGGACCCAAATAAATATCCTGAGAATATCGGACAGTTATCCCTTCCAGGACACAAATAAATATCCCAAAAACATGGACAGTTATCCCTTCCAGGACCCAAATAAATAAATATCCTGAGAATATGGGACAGTTATCCCTTCCAGGACCCAAATAAATATCCCAAAAACATGGACAGTTATCCCTTCCAGGACCCAAATAAATATCCTGGGAATATCGGACAGTTATCCCTTCCAGGACCGAGAAAAATATCCCAAAAACATGGACAGTTATCCCTTCCAGGACCCAAATAAATATCCTGAGAATATTGGACAGTTATCCCTTCCAGGACCCAAATAAATAAATATCCTGGGAATATCGGACAGTTATCCCTTCCAGGACCGAGAAAAATATCCCAAAAACATGGACAGTTATC